CATTCCAGGCGAGAGGCAAACGATTCCTCTCAGATACTGGGCAGCTTTAGTAGGCTGGCTCAGTTTCAAGGGGCTCTGAACTAAGAGCACTGAATTGAGAGCACAAGTGAGAGATAATAAGCTCTCAGAAGCCCTGACACAGGAAAAGAACACCGTCCTTGCGAAGAGAAGAGAAGAGAAGAGAAGAGAAGAGAGCGAGAGCGAGAGCGAGCGAGAGAGAGAGAGAGAGAGAGAGAGAGAGAGAGAGAGAGAGAGAGAGAGAGAGAGAGAGAGAGAGAGAGAGAGAGAGAGAGAGAGAGAGAGAGAGAGAGAGAGAGAGAGAGAGAGAGAGAGAGAGAGAGACCCTCGGCGGCCGAACCACCAGGAGGGAGCGCTCGGAGGCTGGACCGAACGGCTGCTGCGCCGACGGGTCGCTGTTGGGCGACTTTTTATCGGTGTTTTTGTTGGTCGGGCGAGCCGAGAACGTGACCGAACAGGAGGGCGGCCGGTGAGCGGCCAGGTGAGCCCCGTGCTGACCGGGGAGGTAACGTCTGACCAGGGGACTCGGCGCAGACCGGGAACGCAGCGCGAGGGAGCAGAGCAGAGGCTTGGAGGGTGTATCAGCCAAGGAGGGAATGTGTTCAGCGGATGCACGCGTATGAAGTGGCACGTTTGAGTTACAGAAATTGATAAAGCACCTGCCTATATACCGTCCAGCATGGCTGAAAAATAATTTATCAGTTATTGAGCATAACCGATGGCCTTGTAAGCACTGAAGGTGCAGTAAATGACCCGCCGGCGCTGCGGCCGCCCCCGCGCTCCTACCCTTGCTGATCTCCGGCTGGGGCGCGCTGATGAGGATCTTGCGGACGTGGTGCAGAGGACCGCCGATGCCCAGCGTGGCGGCCGCGCTGGTGCTGTTCGAGTTCAGGTCCAGGTCGCGCCACATCAGGCCGTCCATGTGCATGTCGAAGTCGTGATCGAGCTGCTGGTCGGGACTGGCCACCATGGTGTGCGCCGTGTGTGTGGACGTGGGCGAGGTCTGTTCTGAGAGCGGCGACAGGTGAGACGAGGTCACCTCGGGCGGCGAGCCGTCGGCCGACACCGACAGACTCGGCAGCCGAGGGTACGTGAGCGCCTTCAGGTCCGTCAGAGACAACATGGTGCTCCGTGGTGGCGGCGGCGGGCCGGCACTTCCGCGGCACGATGACGAGAACGACACACTGGCCCGCTAACTGCGCTGCGCCGACGCACTTTTTGCGCAAATCGAACACAAAAAGCGTGTTTTTGCGAGCGCCGAAAAAGTCTGCACACTACTCGCAACAAACTGCTGAGTCAATGCCCACGTGATCACAGCGTTAGAATGCCCACAATCTGCCGTGAGAGTCCGTGAGCTAAGGCATAGCACTTGCGCGGCGCAGCGTCCGAGCGACGCACTTTCCCTCTCGAGGTCTAGAGCCCGACTGAAGCCGGCCGGTGGCCGCCACCATGTTTAGTGACGTCAGGCGCGGGGCGGCGCGGCGCGGCGGCCGGCCCGCTCCCAGCAGTAAGAAGTGAAAGTCGCGGGCGGCAATGCAGGTAACCATAGCGAGGTAGGAGCGCACGACGAAATAGATCCGACGATCAGAGGCGAAGCGGCAGGTCGGAAGATGGATTAAGATTATCGGCAGCCAGAAAACGGATGATTTTCACCTTAGCAGCACACAAATGCAGGCGCGACCGAAAGTTTCGGCAGCTGACGCAAACTCATATGTCAATATCATTACAAAATCGTGATATAGAGCATTTGTCAATAAAATGACCGAATAATATGGGTCTAATTAAATCAGGCACCACCCTTTCATCTTCCTTTCTATTGTGCAGAGTTTTGGAATTCGATTAAGTGCTGTGCTGAGCACTGTAGTCGAAACGATAGTTATTTTTCTCAAATGGTTTTTGATTTGGGTTTTAGGGTCCGGGACAGCACAGGTCATCGGTGCCCATACCGGGGCCTCTAGTAAATAGGATTTGCCCAGATGTAAACTCACTCAGTTGTGACATACTGCAGAATCATGAATATGTGATGCTGAGGCAATTTTGAGGGACTATCAGGCGTGTCAGCGCGGGAGCACTGAGCTGGGACAGGAATAGATACAGAATACAGAATGTGATGCGATCCGCTGGCTGTTGATCGTCCGAGCCGATGTATCTCAGCGCACTAAACGAGCGACCATAGACATGGATATCAGAGGCTTCAGGCAGTCCATGTTGAACCGATCGTTTTGGCCGCTACCTGTCGTCCATCATCAAAAAGCGATCTGAGCCGAAAGCGATCTGAGCTTTGACGTTAACTGCAGATTTGCCTTCAACTTTCGTTTCGAGGATCGAGATCTGGTGCAGCCAATCAACACGCAGTAACTCAAGTTCGTGTTGCTGGCTTTACAAAAACTCCAATATAACTCAATTTATATCGAGATGGAACACGACAGGCCAAAGACACACGTTCAGTTTCAAGGAGTCGCGGTCGAGGAGCCGCTTGACCAGACCAGATTGCACGGCCTGTGCAGGGTTGGACTGAACGGAGCTGGCTGCTGGGTCAGACTAGGCCCCCCGGACCGGGGCCTTCCCGATATGGCTGACTGGGCCGACCTCAGCAGCGCCGGGAGGGCCGGGGGCAGCTACCGACCTTGAGGAGGTGCTCTGTCACACCTCGCTGGCCACCGACCGGCCAGCGGGGGACCCACGCCGGCACAGCCACCGACCGACACACAGAAAAATTCGGCCGGCACCGCCACCAGCGCGGCGTCAGCCTTGACGGAGCCGCTTCTCACGCCGGCCCCGAAATACCTCCCAGTCATCGCCAGCCATATAGAATCGACCGCCAACCGGCCAGATCGCCGCATTCCGCACAACATCTGCTGTCTCCGGCAAACAAAAAACAACGCCGACGCCCCACGGATCCCTTTGAGTCGGCCTCGGCCGGTGGCGGAGACAGCCGCTGCCGATTTCGGGTGTGTCGGTGCGCCGGTTGGCGACGAGCGGCTCCGGGCGGCTCCCGGCGGCTCCGGCCGCCCACCGTAGTTCATCCATCACCGACGCTCAGCCGGACCGGCCGACCAGCTATTTCAAGGCCCGGCCGGCGCGGCGGCGCGGCGCGGCGTGCGAGTCGGCCGTCTCCACGCACCTCAGCCGTGCATCCGGTGCGGCGGACCGCCCCCGCCCCCGCCCGAACGCCGCCGCCGCCCCCGCCCGACCGGTGCACGGCTGCCGACAGACCATACATGTAGCTTCCTAGATCGGACTGCATACGTGAATGTGCAGCTAAAACTCATAACGCTGAGTGTTGCATGGATGGCAGACCATTTGTTATTGAAGGTTTACTGCAAAACACAATTGCACCTTCCATCAATTTGAGCAGAAGTTCTCTCAGTTAAACGAAACCGAGCAACTAATGCGACGCGTCAGAGTGCAGTCACAAGAGCAACAGTCCGAGATCCGCGCTCAGAACAGCGTAGCAGCTCTCGGGACCTCCAATCTCCCGGACTCTGGCCACCCGACTGCCATCTAGCGTCAGAACAGCGCACTAACCACCGCCACCCACCAGGATATCCGCTCTGCCTCGCCCGGCATCTATCTCGCCGAGCGGCTCCTACCACCACCGGTCGTCTCGTCAAGGTAGGTCAAAGCCCTTCGCGGTCGTCGTGCGCACGGTGGGCCGCGCTCGCTGGGGCAGGGAGGGAGGAGCCAATATAGCAACAGGTGCGGCCCACCAGGTAAACACGGTCTCTGCGCCTGCGCAGAACGGCGGAGCGTGTCGGTGACGGCCGCGGAGGGAGGAGAGAGGAGAGGAGAGGAGAGGAGATGAGAGGAGAGGAGAGGAGAGGAGAGGACAGGAGAGGAGAGGAAGGGGAAGGATGGGAGAGGAGATGTATGGAGGGGAGGGAGAAAGGAGGGGAGGAGAGGAATGGAGATAAGAGAAGAGAAAAGGAGAGAAAAATAGAGAAGAGCAGACAGAGCAAAGGAGAGGGGAAGAGAGGAGAATAGAAGAAGGACAGGAAAGAAGGGATGCATGGCGAAGAAAGGAGAGGACAGTGGAATTCTTTGAAGTTTAGTCTCACACGGCGGTCCCGCGCCGAAACCTCAGCATCCATTCCGCCCCCACTCTCCAGCCCAGCCCAGCAGGCCGGCAAGCTGCGCCGGACGGCCGCGAGCCTTGCGGCGCAGTAGCGCTACAGGCGAGTGTCGCCACCGCCACCTAGTGAGAAAAACGGAACTCAAAGTTCCTCCGGCAGACGCTGCTCGGAGCTAGCGACTCGAACCGGGTGGTCCCCGAGAGGAGAGATGATTGAGAGAAAAAAAAAACACCTGTCCGTGCTTCTATCCTCAGGATACTGAAATCCTTCTCCTCCACGCCACAACCCCCTTCCGGGCTGGGCAGGCAACTTTATCTCATGCGGGCTGCTCCCTTGGAGCGGCACCGCTGCTCCTGAGGGAGCGCACCCCGTAGCCGGGTGCAGTGAGTGCCTTGGGGCTGGGTGGCCTGTCTTCGGACGGGCTCAGCCCCGGCGACTCACTAGGGTGCCTGCCCAGACCAATGTCTCCCCCTAATTCCTATCATCCTTCCGGCTCTGCAATGGTCTTGTCGACCGAAAGGGCCTAACCCAACAAAACAAACAAAAGAGAAAAAGCACCTTTCCGTGCTTCTATCCACAGGATACAGAAATCCTTCTCCTCCACGCCGCAACCCCCTTCCGGGCTGGACAGGCAACTTTATCTCATGCGGGCTGCTCCGTTGGAGCGGCACCGCTGCTCCCGAGGGAGCGCACCCCGTAGCCGGGTGCAGTGAGTGCCTTGGGGCTGGGTGGCCTGTCCTCTGGACGGGCTCAGCCCCGGCGACTCACTAGGGTGCCTGCCCAGACCAATGTCTCCCCCTATATCCTATCATCCTCCCGGCTCTGAAATGGTCTCATTGGACCGAAAGGGCCTAACCCAACAAAACAAACAAGAGAAAAAGCACTGCATATCAATTGAAATGGACTTGCCTTCGACTGATGCCACTGAGGAGGTTGAGATATGCCGCGATCCCTCGCCTGGAACAAACCAGAATGAGGACGTTAGCAACCTCAAATACTAATGATGATTGCTAATTGGTACCTAATGCAGGGTGCCGCAGCTGGCTGATTCGCTTGGCATTTTATTCCTTTTTAAAATTTGAATTTCTGGCTCAAACTTCTTAAGAGGGACTTTGTCCTTTAACGAGGACACTAAAAATAACATGTGCCTATTCCTAGCACATGAGCACTGGCGGTCCCAGGGGGGGGGGGGGCCACGGGGGCCATGGCCCCCCCCCCTTTGGTGCTGAAAGGTGGGGCCATACTATCTTTTGGCCCCACCTTTCAGATCGAACAAAAGTCCTAGAAAAGCTTTTTGTATGTTTCATTTTCTTTCTTGCGCCATCAAAGGACGTAAATTTCACTCATGGGTGGGCTCAGTTTCGTATTCTGTCAATTTGGCGGTCAGCGTCGCTGGCACTGGTTCACGAGTATGGCCGCATCTTACATGGAATATCAGCGTGGGTTTACTTGAGGCTTTCGTAGGCCCAGCAATGGCTGGCATGAGACCTCTTCGGCAGTGGCGGGTGGGCCCTGCCAAAGGAGCGTGGCTCTAAAGTAAGACCTCATGGGTTGGTGCTGTGCACCTCAGAAGCCCGGTGGTGACGCCGTATGCCGGCTTGGTTTCTTAAGGATTAGCGTGGGATCTCCGGGGCCTGCATAAAGTTTGCATTAGCTAGAATGTAATTTCAGAGGCCTGTAGGCTGTATGTAATGTGTACACAGTGGCGGTCGCGGGGGGCATCAGGGAATGCCCTCCCAAGGCACATAAAGGGGGGCATCATATCATTTGCCCCCCCCCCCTCAAGCAACCGATGGGCCCCCATAGGTGTATGGGACCCTGGCCCTGATTCGATCGTCACGAGGCTAAAAAAACACGCCCACACCGGTCTTTGAGCGTCCAACACTGACCTCTGAGGGAACTTCAGTGGCGGTCAAGCGCCCACGTTGACCGCTAAGAGCCCACATCGACCTCTGAGGCCCCACATCTGACCTATGAGGACCCCTTACCGGCCTCAGGGGCCCCAACCGGCGTCTGAGGGTCTCACACCGGTCTCTAGTGGCCTTATTGCTGTCTCTGGCGTCCCAAGACGAACATTTAGGTGCCAATGAGGGCCCCGCATTGGCTGCTGAAGACCCGATGCTGGCCTCTAAGGGCCTCCATTGGCCTCTGAGGAGGGCTCATCTTGGCCTTTGAGGGCCCTCTGCTGGCCTCTGGGTTCCAACGACGGCTCATTCCGGTCTTTTAGGGCCCCACGCTGACCTCTGAGGGCCCCATGTTGGCCTGTAATGAGTAGGACCCACATAAGCCTCCGAGAGCCCAACTCGGTCTCTGATGGTCTCAAACTACTGGCCTTTGCAGTTTGCAGGCCCTGTACTGGTCTCTGAGGGCCCTAAACTGGCCTCTAAGTGAAAACATACATGGGTGGGCTTCTGAAGATCACAGGGCTCACGCAGACGCCTGCACAGCCGTACGTTGGTCCTGATCGAGATTACTTTACGTCCTGATGGTCCCGCGCAGATTCCCTCATATTTCGACGTCGGGACCCCATGAGCCGGTGTGGGTCCTGGGGCTGGCAGAGACTGATGAAGTCCTTAGGGCTCAGGGCCAGTCTTTTTAGCAGTAGGACTATAAGGCAGGTTGAGTGAGCCCCAATAGAGCCGTTGCGAGGCCCCGCGCGAGTCGTGCGCGGCTCTCAGATGTCAATTTTGAAAACCAGGAGCCTGTGGGGCCGGGGGTCTCCAGAGGTCGGTGTACCTATTCTCTCCCGCCGCCAAACAGCTATATGGGTAAATGTCATAGTCTGAAAATGATCTCTGGGTTTCACATGCTTGTTCAAAGCAAGAGGTATCCGTAGTTTTCCGAATTGTTTATTGTGGTAAGGTCATGAATCCGCGTGCCCGACCTTCCAGTATATGCTACACCGATCCGTCGCCATGGTGCAGTGGCCCGACCGGTGGAAACACCGTGGGACGGGAAATGGAACTGGTGCTTTTGCCTTAACTTGAGCTTAAAGATTTCACGCAAGAATGAGGTGGATGAAGCATAAGTAATGCCAACTGCGCGGCGCCTCGTGGACGTAAAAAATTAGCCGATCACCCCCCCCCCCCGGTGACTGATAAATGTTATGTCCCGCGAGTGTGACTTTGGCCCCCCCTTTTGCGAGCGGCTGCGACCGCCAGTGCACATGAGTGCAGGTAAAAAATATCTTTTAGATTGAAGGGAGTTGTTATTCCGCATCGACATCAGGCCTAATAAGTATAGCTGATTCAGCCTCGCCAAGTAACAGTCTGCGATACACGTTTCCCGTGATCTAATCATAGCGCCGAGTCGCAGCCCATTAGTCAGCAGTTACGTCCGTATCGCCGAGCCAGACGGCGGACGGGAGTGGCGCGTTTTTTCTGCATTGTCTCGTCGTCGCCCCGCCATTCATTGTCGTCCCGTCCCCCCTGCGACGGCGGCGCGGCGGCGGCGACTGCCGTCTGCCTGCCCCCCCCCCCCCCCCGGCTCCCCTGCCGACTCCCCAGCGGCAGGGCGATAATACTGGGGAGCCGGCCCCAGAGCTGAACTTGACGGCACGGCCAGACAGACGCTGAAAAACGCCGCCGACGAGCAAAAAACGCGCCGTCTAGCCAGCCGAAAAAAAACGCGCCAAAACAAAAACCGAGACGCACCTGACGGTGTGACGAATCTGGCCGAAATATTGAGATGGGAATAGTGTAAGGAACGTAGGGCGAGATTGCACCGTGCATAGGAGTCGCAAGAAAAAGATCGAGGCTCTCACATATTAGTTTGCATCAACAACAATATTTCAGAATACATGATAGCGGATAAGGTGAAACTCCAAAAAGAGAACCAATATTGATCGCCGTAAATGTGTGCTTTTTTATAACAAAACTCAAACGTTACAGAGCGTACTTATTATAAAATCACTGCATAATGAATAAAGTTATATCCTACTGATACTCATGCATCACTCAATAAAGGGGATTGGTTGAATAGGTAATCATTTTTCATGCCTTTTATAGCTAGATCAATCACCAAAATAAGCTGCACTAATTGACGGAAAGAAGAGTTTCGTCAATAATACTGTTGTCGGAAAGGTTAATTGAATATTAAGAACAGCATTTATGATCTAATCGATAACTAGTTGTGCCACTCCGAGAGCTGTACCAAAGCAGCTTGCCTAGGCGCACCCGACCCCGTCGGACGGTGCGGCGGGACATCACCTGTCGGCGCGTCGGTCGATGAGTCCAGCTCCAGATCGTCGATGTCGTCACCCCGGAACACCAGGTTCACCATCCTCTCCGGGGCACCACCCAGCAGGAGAGACACCATGCCGGGCCGCTCCAGGCCGAGCAGCTCCGACCGCCCGGCCGGCTCCTCATCCTCCTCCTCGTCATCATCCTGCTCCTGCTCCTCCTCCTTGACACGCTCCTGCCACTGGTCCCGATCTTCGGAGGCGGTGCTCCAGGGACCGCCGTCAGAGCTATCCACAGGGCATGGCTGTGAGTCGCTGCGGCTCGAACAGGCCACGCTCGGCGGCCGTCGAAGACGACTCGTCTCCGCCGGCTCCTGTGTGTCCGAGCCGGAGACGGTTACAGAGGCGCCGTCTGCATCTGCACACGAGCGGGAGGTATCGCCCCAGGTCCAGTTAGACGCCGTTCCGTCCAGCGAGAGTCGCAGGCCACAGTCTGACACCAGAACGTCGCCGGTCTGTCCTAGCCTGGTCACCAATACCGGACCATCGGCCGCTCGGTTTGTGTTCGACCGGTCGTCGCTGGAGGTCGACGGTAGGGTGTCGGAAACTGACTCTGACTGCTGGGGATGATTAGCATCGCGCTGTCCGTCCCGTCCAGCAAGCTCTTCTTGACAGTCTGACCGTCGGTCCTGAGCGTCATCTACTGTTGCTGGCTGCGGCGACGGCGCCGCTCGTATTTCAGATCCCGGTGAGTCTGCAGATGCACCCAGGCCCCGGCCGGCCTGCGACGGAGCGCAGACCGGGGAAGCTGTCCTCTGCGGAGCAGGACTAGCGCCGGGCAGACAGGAATCACCGTCACTCTCAGCTGCCCGGCTGCTGACGGCTGAAGGCGCCACCATCAGCAGCAGACGACCAGCACCAGCTGATACCTGCTGATTCTGCTGACGTCTGAGCAGCGTCAGCGGACGGCTGGGCACGTCATTAGACGCAGAACTGACGTACGTCACCTGATGGGCGGAGGTGACCGATGGGACGGCGATTCTCTCCAGGGACCACGCTGGCCGTACTCCAGTATCGCTGCTCGTTCCAGCGCTGGTGTCTGGGGTGTTCTCCGGGCCGGCCCGCTGGGTCCTGCCGTAACGGCGGGGACCCGGCGAGCGGCCCACTGCCACCGTCTCCCCATCACTCGAACTGACCGACCGCGGCGGCTCGGCCGGCGCCGTGGAGCTCACACTCGCCGCCTGCAGCTGCAGGGGACCCGGCGCGGCCGCCAGCCGCTGGCTGACAACGATAGTCACAGTTCCACCGACCAGCATCTGCTGGGGGATACCGCCGGGCAGTAGGAGCCGCAGCGGTTCAGCCCGCTCCAGCGCCGTCCGGTCCCGACACGGCCCGGCCCCGACCGCCGCCGGCGCAGGCTCGCCACCGGACGTGCCCAACATTGTGCACGGCGTACTGGGCGTACCGTAAACGAGCGGTGGGTAAGTTTGTGCACCGACGCTCGATTGTTTCACACACCAGTGGCGCTGTTCTAGACAGAGGAACAAGCGAGCTCTGGCTCTTGACGAGCGAGCACTAGCAGTACACGATGTTTACAAGCGGGCGCAAAGTATGCTCGGAAAAAGTCAGTACAAAAATACTTGTTCACCCTTCTTCAACCGTTATGCTGTTCACACACGATCAAAATTACACCACAAAAATATTCCAGATTTCTTGACAGTCTTCAAGTCTCCGACGTTTCAATTGAGAGCCAAGAATCTCTTCATTGTCTACGGGTTTCTCTTGAAGTCACAGCCGAGCCTGACATGTTTACTTGGACAAATCGCTGTCGTTTGTACACAATAAAGTACCACCTGAGAAGTTTTGATTTGTTGTGTTTTGATTGGGCTCAGGAGCGCGCTGATCTCGTCAGTCACATTAGCAGCCGCCGTCTGGCGCAGTCCTCTGCTGCCGTCCTGTCGTCTCCGACACTGTCCTCGGCACACGCACGATTCATACTCACGAGCATGTCACCTCGGCCCGGCCGCCGCCCACCGCACATGATCGACTCACCGACGACCGGCGCCGACTGGCTGTCTAGACAGGCGCGGCTGACGCACGCGCTTCCCCCGTATTTACCCCGTTAGTAATTTCTAAGGGAGCGGCAGCCAGACAGAGCCGGCGCTCAGTGCAGACTGGCCTCCGGCGGGCGCGACAGCCGCCGCTGCCGTCGCCACCGCCGGTCGTCGGATGCAGTGAATGCCGGCCAGTGGCGAGCCCAGCGGACTCGTCACAGACAGTGTACAAATCAATGACGATTTCAATTACGATGGTGTCACGAACTAACGCACAAAGCGCAGTTCGTGATCAACGCGGTAACGTTTGGATCCAACCTCCCACGACGGCAAAGGCGTCCGGAGCCGGCCCGACGACCCCCCGCTGGACGCGCCCAGTCGTCGAAAACGACGCAAGAGAAGTCGATTGGGTGTCTGCGTGGCGGGCGGGAGTGCAGTCACACCGGCCCGGCGGCCAGCGGCGAACGGTCCGCCGCACGGTCGAAAGACAGCATCCCTGCCTCCATGTCTATCAACAGTGCTGAATGGACTGGTGCCGGGTCCATCCATGTCTCTCCCACTGTTATTCGCCGAGTAAATACCCGCCCCGGACGTCACTGATTGACTGGCCAGTCAGAGCAGAGTAGTCGCGTACGGTCCCCTTTCCTCTCTCTCCCTCTCCCTCCCCGTCGTCACGCCGGCAAGGGTTGCGGTTGGCAGCGGCGCGGCACCCACCGACCGGCTTACCGTGCGTCGCGGATCAAAACAAAAGGGCTGCGTGGCGGCGCCGGCAGCGGCAGCGGCGGCGGCGGCGGCGGCGGCGGCGGCGGGGCGGATTTCAGTTCAGTGGGACGGGGGTAGTGACTGGGGTAGGCCGCTGCGAGGGGTCAGTGACCGCCAGCAGCCGTGGCCCTGACGGGGGCTGCCTGCGCCGCCCGCACGCACGGTAGGGGCGGCGTGCTGGGGTGCCGGAGCGCCGGTTAGACCCCGGACCGGATGGAGCCATGCGCCGGCGGCAGGGCCGCGGGCACTGGCAGCCGAACGACAGAAGTGAGTCAGCCAGTGTTCATAGAGGAGACCCAGTAGCCCGTCAACAGCCAACGGTACTATGGATGACATCATTAGCAATTTTACCAACCGATTTGTTCACGGTTAGGATTACACTAACTCGTAGAAAAAAATAAACAGACGATATGAAGGCTGCAGGATGCAAAACCAGACGTGCCTCCGGAGGGCATGTGCTAATTGGACGTGCCCTTTGAATTTGACGGGAAAAGCAACAAAATGGAAAATGTTTCATAACTTAAAGTTATGCTTTTGTTTGCCTTTATTCCTGTCACTTAAATTTTGAATCTGCATATTCACGACAACTTCTTAGAAGTGAAAATATCATATGATCTTAACTTTCGTTAGATGACACCTCTTACTGATAATGGCGTACTTTTCACCTATTTAGCTCCTAATTAATCATCCCAAATATCCGTTACACTCCCATCCATGTCCCTTTTCAACAAATCTGCTAAGTAGACAATCATGTCTAGACTAGCTCATTTACATACGAACGGCCTTCTCCCCTTCAGCCGCACCAAACGCTCGAAAGGCAGTCGCGAGTACCCCAGCCAGCCAGTCGTTCGGTGAGGGGCTAGACGGGAGGTGCCGAGCCAGACAGTCGGCAGGGACGGGCCAGACAGACGCGCGGCGCGAGCCAGACAGTCGGCTGTCGCGGCGCGCGGCGGCGCACGGTGGCACACGCACCGGTCCGCCCGGCACAATACGACGCGCCGGCAGCGGCGGCGGCGGCGGCGCGGCGGTGGGGGCAGCCTGCCGACGGCCGGCCGCCGCGTCCGCCAGCGGCGAGTTTGGCGGTCCAGCCGGCCGTTTTTCCCCTCATTATTCGCGCAGCAGTATCGGCCAGAGGCGGCGCCCGATGATTTCCCCACAACCGGAATCTGACGCTCGCTCCCCTGTCGTCCTGGCCAAAGTCACTTTTTACCGACAGTAAAAAGGCGGCGACCGCGAGCCGGGGGCTACAGCGGCCCGCCCGCCGGTCGGCTCGACGGCGCTGGAATCCAGCTCGGTACAGGAAAGGAGAGCACTCCACGCCGGAATGGCAGCCGCTCCGTCGGGATGGGTTCACCGACGTGACCTCGCCCGCATAGCTGACCTAAGCCGTAGCCATTGCCGTTCTCTTTCAAACTGGTGAAACGCAGAGGACAGCATCTAAAAGCCTCATTTTTAGGCAGAATAATGCACAATCACCACGTCATTTCAGATTTATGGTGACATTCGTCCAGCTATTACTATGCGATATACAGAAATCCTCCGTCCGCTTCGGCCCAGCTGCTGTCGTGCGGGACAGCCTAGCTTCAGGCGCACGCTACCGGCGACATCTAGGGATGAGTTAAGGCACCACAGATTCAAGGTTGTCCTTTTGAAACCGCTATTTTTTTCTAGCTTAGTTTCCTCGGTAGTGAGGACCCGAGAAAACCAATTGATAATTTATGAAATTGAATTATGCAAGCATCGACGAGTCACCGCGTTTGCTTCTGCACGACTATGTATGCCACATTCAATCATGCCTCTCTGCGGAGACTTACGTAACCGCAGAAGGGTAAAAAGCTCGACAGAGCAGTTAGAAAAGTGCAATGACCCTGAAGGACGGCGGAGGAGTCACCGGGAGAGCGCAGAGAGGGAGGGAGGAGGACTGAACCCCCGCGAGGCACGCAACAGAGCCGCGACACCGGTCATTTCTCAGCGGTAAAAGGGACGCCGCATGGGTGAAACACAGGGGAGGAGGCCAGCGGCACTGGTAAAAAGCAGCCATGATCCATCGGCTCCACACCGCACGCGGCCACAGCCACCGGCACAAAAAGCACATTACACGAAAATGTTTCACCGATTTCCTTCCATTCCCATGGTAAAGGTTCGAGAGACCAGCGTGCTGTGGTTAATGCGCTGGCATTTATCTTGTCACGGTCAGGCTAGTTAAAAAACACAGTCGGTTTCACAGAGCGTTCCGCATGTTCGTAGGATAATACTGCGGATGAGAATGAACAAGTTGCATTTGCTACAAGGCAATTCACCATTGTTGCATGATGGCATGGTGTGTTTCGAGTAACGGTCTGCCAAGACAAGTTAATGCTTCCTCGTTTGAGCGGGGCCATTGATATTTAGTATCCGACGGATATAACAGCTGATAGGACTGCGGGACCGAGAAGGGAGAAGACAGTGGAGACCACAAAGCCGTCATTGGACGACAAATCCAGCCAAGAGTCTCCCGAAATGAATCTGACAATTCTAGACGCCAGCCGAATAGGTACTTGAAAATAATGATAATGTGGAGGGGGTGCACGTTATAGGTATGTATCATTGTATCAGTTATGATTTCCTGCAGCCTTCAGGACCGTAGGGTACGGCGCCCTGAAACTTGCGTTCGCCCTCAGACCTCCCCCTACAGCTCACCAGACGGAGTGCGGGCATCTCCAGACTAGCGGATCGTCCCCTTCCACGGTAAAAACCCACCGCACCCTCCCAGATCAAAAACAAAACTGGCGAGACACGAGCCCTTTTTACCGGCGCCAATCGTCACACCGGCGAAAATCTCGGGAAATGCATAACACCCGTTGATACATTGTGTCACTAACTGTTGCCATTACTTTTTCCACACGTCACACGGCAAAAACATAAAAGGGGGAGCAAAAAGGGAACGGATGGTACAAAAAGGCACCCAAGGTAGGGAGTGGGACAGAGCGCAACATTTGGCGCAATGAGAACACCATTAATCATTGTTTTACTTCGCGTGTACACGCGCTAAGTCTGGCTCGAAAAAGTCCGCGACATGAGGCGCGTGCCGGTGCCCAAGTGACTCAAAGAACCCGCTCTAAGAAGCGTCCTGGCGCCGCGCACGGGCTCTAAATAGGCGCCGTCGGAGCTGGCTGGCTGTGCAGAGGTGAAGACTGATCGCCCCATCAGCTTAGCTGGCTCCATCATGATTCACCCGGTTTCAACAGCCCTGTGCTCTGCCGCGGCACGTGCTCAAAGAAACGGTGCCTGACTGAACGTGGGAGGTCCGCTCTGGCTGTTTGTTCGCTGCGGTCCGAGTCAGAGTCAACCCGGCTCGCACCAGAGTCCGTCTCTGCCTGCACCAGAGTTCACCCTATCCAACCGACTATCCATCTGACCTATACAGTTTTTCGTCAGAGCAAAGATCACCACGGGCTCGGACAGGGGATTCGATTGTCCGACGGAACTCACCTGGTCTGCCGGTCGGCGAGTACGGGTCGTAGCTGCTCGTGGACATGGGTGACACGGAGAACCCTCCGCCTCCAGGAGGGGCCGTCTGGGCGCCGGAGACGGGCAGCACTGCGAACGGCGTGCCCGTGTCCAGGCTGGTCTGACTGGGCGACGGCAGCCAGTCGTCATGCATCCGCCGCGGCAGCCCCGGCTCGGGCGAGCCGGCCGCCGGCTCCTGCTTGATGGCCGGCCGGCCGGCCACGGTGGCCAGCAGCCCCGGCGAGCCCAGGTAGCCAGGAGGAGAGCCGGCCAGCTTGAAGAGCGGGCTGGCCGCCAGCGGCGACTCGCCGCGTCGCATCTCCATGATAAGCGCCGTCACAGAGACGGTAGCCAGCGTGAGGCGGGCGGGGGCGGGGGCGGCTTAGCCAGCCCGCGCCAGCATCGCGCCGCGACCTCCTGCAGCCGGCGAGCGCCGCTCACACGCACTCTGGAACACACAGACAAACAGACAGGTCAGCACAGATCGGTGTGCACCCGGCAGGTCAACACGAGTCTCGACAACGACCACTTTCATCCATTGCCGGTAATGTCAAACAGGGAAGGATCGAACAGGATAGGGCCCAGCTACAAGCAAAGCCGGTAAGAAATAAGGCATGTGCATTCCAGACACAATCATTCGTGTCTTGATTCTCGCTATCGATTTTTGAGCAATCGATCGATATCCTATCTGGTATTACCGGCAGAGAGTAGCACCGGAGTAGTACCTCCATCGCCCGTCACGGTGTGATGGCGCCACCTGTCGGCTGCAGCCGCCGATACGCTGCAGGTCGTTCAAGGAAAGTGGCACGTGGCCGCTAGCCGAGCGCGGAGAAGTACAGCAAAAGGGTGGGATTTGATATTGCGGCCACGTAATTCGAGAGGAGGACTAGCGTACAGCTTCGGTAATTAGTGCATATGGACGCACGTCCGCACGGTAGGGACAACAAGGGCGCCAACAGGACGGTCAGGCGGTACCCATCGAGCTCCCAGCTCCACAGGGAACAGAGGGCGCTGACAGGGCGGCGGACGATGGTGATGGCCAGACTGCACAGATAATTACGCACAAAGACGCCGGGTACCGGGACTACCTCAAGGTAATCTGAACGGTTTTCTGTTATCGGCGAGCAGAAGAAAAAAGTGCTTGCTGGCGTTGGAACATCGTGTTACAGTGTGGTCAGAGAGGACTTCTGCGACCCAGGATGGGCACCAGGTTAAAGGGACTATCCCACCTTTAACCCGGCCGGGCCCAGGGGGTAATCCCAACCACCGCAGCCCGGGGGGGGGGGCGTTTTTCGCCCCCCCCCCTGTCTAACTCCGTAAATAAGGGAGCTACGGAAACAAAAGCGATACCAAACGAAAGGTCCTTACGAGACTATTCTAATGCACCTAAAATTTTTGACCTCAGGTCAATTTTCAAGGTCAGAGGTCAAGGTCAAAGGCCAAAACCGGTACATGTGTAGTGATCTCAAAGTAAGCCTTCTAGAGGACGGCAGGCTGCATCAAACCGGCAAAATTGGGTGTCAAACGAAAGAAGAGAATCTGAGGATTCTGAAAATGTGCTCCAAATTAAAGGTCAAGGTCAAGGTCACACTCAAAATTGACCTCAAACTTGGCCCTTTTTCGCACATCTTGCGTGCTAACTTCCAAGATGTTTTGAAATGTTTTGAGGCTTATCAGTTCCCTATTTGTGGTTCATCTTACGATACAAGGCTGCTCAAAGGTCAAGGTCACAGAAGAGTATCCCTGCTAGAGGTTATTTCACTGATTCAAGTTAGTAATAATAAATAAGACAATTTTGCCATCCGGAAGCTCTAAATGAAGGCTTAGAGGAAAATAGATGCCAGATTCGTGATTAGCGGGTACAAATCCATCATAAACGACCTTTCATGTGTCAAGGTCAACCAGAGGTCATTCGAGGTCACATGAGGTCAACATGAAACTTGACCTTTTCCGAACAAAATATATATCATTCGACGCGGCTTGACAAGGCGAATGCGATGGTACCACTGCCGTAGCTCAAGGACCATTTTTGTCGAAGTTATTTGCGAAAAACTAAAACCACATTTCGGGGTCGTTGACCTGACCTCTGACCTCAGGTCACCAAAACTATTTTTCTATTTTTCTCTAGGTCAAACGCTACACAGCCGTGCTCGTTATTTGTCTTTATCTCTAAAACTCTATTTTTAGCAGCTATTTGAAGTTTGCGTCTGTGACGCCGAAGTTTGCCGTGCAGGGGTCTAGAAAAATGGACCTTGTGACGTCATCAAGGAGGCTAGGTCCAAATTTTTTGCTTCAGAAGATGTCAAATTGATGGGAGAAAAGGTACTGAAAGTTTCGCCTTCCTATCCCTAAGCGTTTGGGAGTTATCGCAAATATTCGCCAGGGGGGGGGGGCGAAAAACGCCCCCCCCCCGGGCCCGCGAGGGTTAACATGGGGTTTGAGTTGAGATAGCCAAGTTTGCGGCGAGGTTCAGAAACCACTATCTATCTAGGTTGCAACCCCCGCGGCCTCTTGGTGTTGAAGAAATTCGTTCCCTTCATTTGAAAATGGGCCTTGTACAAGGCCCTACCTTCAACATGGAGCGACCGTTAGTGTGACGTCACCTCGTTTAGTCATTCTGATTTAAATGGGTTTGTTCGTTGAAAAATCGCTTAAAACTTGGTCTGAACTTTGTTGTGGTGCCTACAGAGTAAAAAGAATCAGCTTTATGACAGTAATGTGGCCTGGGGAAGGAGGTAATTTTGGGCTGTGACGTCACATATTTGAAAGTTTGTGTTTGGAATATGGGAAGCCTAAGATGTTTAATGAAAAATAAATGCCAGAACCGTGTTCCTGGTCATCCAATCTATAAAGTCGGGCACAATTTAACTAGTTTTAACAACATTTTAGAAGGTGGGATGGTCCCTTTAACCCGCGACCTGGTGGGGGGGGGGCTATTTTTTGCCCCCCCCCCTCCAGACTTTTCGATATATCTCCAGAACCGCTGCGCCGATCGTCACCAAACTTTCAGTACCCTCCCGGACATCAATTTTACACATTGTGACCAAAAATTTTTCCAAAGGCTATGATAGGTTGGCCGGAAATGACGTCAGAGTGACGTCATGTTCTGCCGTTTTCGACCCAAAAAGGGTTTCGCGGGAAGAGCTGTCAGGCCTATAGCTTTGCAAATACAGAAAAATGATAAAGACATAAAAGCTGTAGAATTGACAGAACTACAAAACTGCTATCTCGGATTTTTGAAATTTTTGGATTTTGATCCCAAAAATCAAAAAATAGATTTTTTGGATATAATAGTCAAAAAATCCAAAAAGTTTTTTGAATTTCGCAAAAACCGGAATATATGTGATAGTCCTTACCGCTTTCCATCCACATACCAAATTTGAGATTGATACCTCTTTTTTTGGCGAAGTTATAGCGAAAAAACTGTTCAAAATTGATGACGTCAAATTTTCAAACTTAATTTTTAGCAATTCTAGACCCCGTAGCGCAAAACAAAGACCACCATTAGACTCCCCGTGACGAGCTGCATCGAATAGATACCCATTTTATGCAAAACTATCAACTTTAAAATTTGACCTTTTTTGGCCTGACCTTGACCTGACCTTGACCTGACCTTCACCAGAAAGTGACCTAAGCCGTACCTGATAGTCTTATAACCAACACCATTGAGATGGAAATGAAAAATTGGCCATAAAACATGCATCACACAACCTTAGTAAAGTTGGGTTCATGTGACCTGCCCTGTGACCCTTGGTGACCTGACCTGTGACCTGACCTGGTATTGTCAGTGTGGTGTCGCGCCACCTCTGCGCGGTGTTAATAACCGGGAGTTTGTGCGGACGCCGTCGGGGGCGCGCCAATCGCGGGTTGGCGCTGTGACGTCACGTCAGTCGCGCACCGGCGCCCGGCGAGGGGGGACGTATCGCCTGTTACGCGTGCACTGAGCCGAGAACGAGGAATACATCTCGTACCGTTCCGACTGTCTGTGCGCGGGGACTGAGATCACGACAGAACACCTTGGCGACGAGTCGAACGGTTTTAAGCGCGGCGGTGCGGTGCGGCGGCCGGCGGGGCGCGGTAGTGTCGCGGACTCGGACGTGCCAGTGGCGTGTGGCGGAGTGCCGTGGACGGTCTGGGGACGTGCGGGACTCGTGACGGTTCGTGCGGTGCGGGTGGCAGTTTGCCGGAGACCCGTGGCCTGCGGCGGGTTGAGCCGTGGTGCGACCGAGACCCGGGTTGTGACGTCACTGACGGACCGACGCCATTTTTGGCGGAAGCAGCCAGCGCCGCGTGGCGGAGCGGCAGTGAACCTCTGGCGCCAGCTGACTGCGCTCGTCAGCTGTTGGAGAGGGGGAGAGCCGTACAAGCCTCGTCAGCTGTTGGAGAGGGGGAGAGCCGTACGAGCCGTGCGGTCGGTCGGATAAACAATCATGGCGGCGCCCATGCTCCCGGGCGTGGACCGGTTCGTGATGGGCGGTGACTTTGACCGGTGGCTCACGAGTGTGGACCTCTACCTGGATGCTTTGGATGTGACCAGCGAGGCGCGGAAGCGAGCCATGTTGTTGCATCTGATCGGTCCGGATCTGCAACAGGTGTTTGGCACGCTGCCAGAGCCGGTCGGGGTGGAGGGGGCGTATGAGATCAGCAAGGCCAAGCTGAGGGCCTACCTCACCCCTGCCCGCAACACCATCGCGGAAAAACTGGCCTTCAGCACTATCCGGATGGAGGCTGGTGAGAAATTCGAGGCCTACCTGGCACGGCTGCGGGTGGCTGCGAACCGGTGCGGCTTCACTGGCCAGAGTGTGGACCAGGAGGTCCGGAATCAATGCCTGGCCGGCACCAAGGGTAAGCTACAGGAGCGGCTGCTGCAGCGGGCTGCTGAGCGTGGCGACCAGCTCACTCTGCAGGATGTGGTGGCTGCTGCTACTGCCATGGAGCGGACGGAGGCCCTCATTGAGCAGATGCGGGGCCCCAGCTCAGCGGCTGAACCGGGACAGCTGGTGGCTGGGGCAGCCGGCCCAGCGGCTGAGCCTGTTCAGCTGGTGGCCGAGCGTCAGCTGACCTGCTACCGCTGTGGCCAGCCGGGTCACAGGAGAGCGGAGTGCCAGCACCAGCAACAGCAGCAGAGGACACCGACAAAGTGGCAGGGGCGTGGTCCGGTTTGCTACAAGTGCCGGCAGCCCGGGCACCTCAAGAAGAACTGCAAGAGTAAGGTAGTTCCTGTCCCAGTGCAGGAAGTGTCCCAGCCCGAGACAGAGCTGTGGTGTGTGCACACTGTGCAGCAGGGTCAGGGGTCAGAGGCCAGTCACATGGCTCCACTGAAGATGACCCTACAGGTCAACGGCATGGACATGGAGTTTGTGGTGGACACGGGAAGCCCAGTGACCATCATAGGATCGGACAGCAGTGTTCCAGGTCTGTGCTTACAGAGATCGGACTTGGTGCTGT